ATGTCTTGAAGTTCTCCAGAAGGCCTGGTAATGAACTAATCATTTGATTCAGGTGTGTTTACCCAGGGTGAGATCTAAAACCTGCAGGACACCGGCCCTCAAGGCCTGGAGTTCGAGACCCCTGCCTTAGAGTAACCAATTTTTTCACAAATGCTTGTAGAAGCAGCCTGTATGCTTAGGTGCTTGACTTTACACCGTGGCCATGGAAGTGATTGGAACACTTATATTCAATAATTTGGATGGTTGAGTGAATACTTTTGGCAATATAGTGCATATGCTTGTGTTAGGCTGAAAAAGACATTAGGAGTGTTTCTGATGAGTTTTTCAATAGTATATGCAACACAGAGCCAAATTTAAATTTATTTTCAGACTGCGGGAGTATGTCTGCTAGCTTCAGAACGGATAGACAAGGTGATCTTCAGCATGGAGGTTAATGGGGACTCTTGCAGTTGTCTGTCTGGCTCCTACTTCTTTCCAGTCACATATTTCCTATCCTTTTCAGTCTATTAAGTAGAATGCTTATTCAGCCTCTGGACAGACATCTGGTAAATATAAGGATTACCAGATACCAGGTAGCACAGATTTAACAAGAATATGGCTGTATGAGATTGGAAGAAAAAGGAGAGACAAGAAAAGCAAAATCAGGAGTTTGAAGTGTGTTGATTCTATCTGTGAGGGTACATGTAATGCCTAAGACCACTGTAAGCCCACTGCACTTACATGGAAAATTGGATAAGATGTGAAAGCAAAAAAGAAATGTGTCCGTGTCTCTTTGTGTTTCTGATATCCACTCATCTCCCCAACACAGCCAACACAGAGCTCCTACCTGAAGAGAGCAAAATGAATCAGGTCTCTTCTGACCCCTTTTGCAATATTTTTCAGTGTTTCATCAGCACACATAAAAGTGCATAGCGTTTAGTCCTTTTTAGTGCATGAGTTTATGAACATAATATCATGGTTTATGAGGTGGTTATAAATCATTTTGGATGGGCTGTTGTCTTTACAGACTGGTTTATTATGTGGTTATGGTGTTTAGATCGTAAGATTTAACTCAGGCACTGAAAATGGACACAATGGACGCACCTTTTTTTCACAACATAAAAACATTACAAAATCAGGATATTAAGAAAAAAAGTTCACTCATGAACATCCAGTCCTGTATCACACCACTATACAAGTCCTGGACATCCGTCCAGATAAAGTCGCTCCAGATTTAGAGTTTCAATATGAAACTGCAAAGGGCTTAATGAAGGAGGAGGAATTAGCATTCATTACCTGAACGCTGAGGCATGAGGGTGTACGCGACGATGCACAGAACTGTTACACCACACCATACCACTGGGAAGGGGGGTTCAGCATAATATTAAGGTTCATCAAATACAGATACTTCACAATGAGGAAGCACCGACAGGTGGAAAATGAGCAGCTACAGGTAGTATAGTTTGACACCGTTTGTTTTACTGTGATTACACATGATAAATTCTTGCAGACCTGCAGCTAGTACCATGGTTGCTAAGTTTAATTCCTCCTTTAATGCTAACAGATCTGCTGTTAACATTCTTGTATTTTCTCAAAAAGTGGTACAAAAGATTTGCACAAAAGCATGCATTTCATTCCTGCTCTCAGCTGTCAAGTTTTTAAGATTAATTTGTAATTAGCTGTTTAAACTAGTCAAGTAACCTTCACATTTACTATCTAAATTAAACTAGATAATTAACTTGCCAACTTCGTTAGCTCTTTTAAACTCCTGTCTTGGGTTGGAACATTTCAGGTTTTAAAAGGAGAATATTTATGGGCACTGAATGTGCACTTTATGAAAACCTACAACCTACATGTCCCAGAAAAAGGCTGGGTGTGTAAAATCTTTAGCATCATTGTAATACAGGTATTCCTACTATTCTCACCATGATAATAATGAATGTGTAATTTGTCACATTTTATTTTTAATGCTTCTGCAGGTGCAACGCTTTATTACTATGACATACTCCAACAGAGTTCAGGTTCATAAACCTGGTTCATAAACCTGAACTCTTACGCCTTCAAGGACAGCTTGTTCAGTGTTTCTTTTTATTGTTTTAGGCAATGCTCAGATACAGTATATACCAAGCTATCTTCTGTAATACAGCGGACAAATGGAAGGTCATCCATTCGCACTACTTATCAACATGTAAAGAAATCCAAAGCCTGACTAACCCAGTCACAGCTGATAAACTGCAATTGAGCAATTATTCTGGGGGGAGGAATTCAACCAGCAGACGCTTCAATGTGAAATGCACAAATGACTGTATGAAAACACAGCTTCAGGACAAAAGGTGGCAAACTATGAGGTACAAACTGTAGCATGTAGGTACATTGCCTACTTTAGCAGCATTAGAGGGGCTTTACACCACAAGGTTTATGTTGTTTTAGCACGTCTTACTTTGACTTTCTTTGTAAACCAGGGATGCTCTGCGAACTAGAGATGGCTCAGTGTTGTGCCTCGGTGGAGGGGGAGGGGGGACCTGTTGTGGGCAAACACCAGCCATGGTAGTTAGAAGGGCAACAGGGGTATTTAGGGTTCCGTGTAAAGCACTATTTTATGATAACATTATGTAGGCAACTGGACCGAGGGGTTGCGATGAACTGGCCGACCTCCTTCATCATTAAAAAGGTGAGACACTCAATAGAGCCTGTCCTTAAGTGACAAAGTCAATTGGCCATATGAAGTTAAAGGTGAATTTCAACTTCCACGGTACTTTGGGTATCCACCCGTGAGGAGACATCCTCGCGGAATGCCATTTTGTTTGCAATTAAATCACTCATGTAGGATATGTGAAAATCACTGTCACTCTGTCACACGCTGTAGAAGGGAGGTTATTAAAGTAATTATGAAACGATTATATCATTACTCATGCAGTAATTGTCTCCTAAACACAGTTTATGTGCTCCAAACACAGGCAGTGCATCACAGTGATCTCAAAACATAAAACGGATAAACACACAAACAAGAAGGAACAAGTGGACACACACACACACACACACACAGAAACAAGTTATGGCCACATCCACACACAGAGAGGCATGCTGCCACACACGTAGGCTCTCTGATACGTGAGTGTATGAACGTGCACATCCGCTCGCACAGACCAGCACAAACCCCTCTCATCTCCATAATTACTGTATAGTCAGCATGTCCGTGTCTGGGGGTGACTCTCAAAGTGAGATGTTGACAATAGCAGAGCCGAATTCAAGCTGGGGCCTGTCAAAGACCTGACGCTGATAGCATTATCCGTGTAATTATTCGCAGTTAAGTGAACGGCCTACTTACTTTTAACATAATGGAATTGGAGGATTGAGCTGTACCGGTGCTGTCCTTTCACATCATAACTCGCGTGACGTCATTAACCAGGAGGAAATACGTGCTCCGATTTGACTTAATTATTTTAAACACGGGCCGTCTATTACTCATGGCTGCTCTCTCGCTTCTTTTAACGTTTCGGGCATAATCTCAAAGCACACCTGAGCTCCCTCTGAAGCACATTAGCATGCTACGGCGCAACTGTTGTTAAGAGCCGCAGACTTCTAATATATGGCTCGCTCTTTTGCGAGCTCCTGCCATTTTTCTTCTCCTCCATAAAGTAGTTGCTTGGCATGGGCGAACGTGGAGTCAGCCAGCGCTTCTGAAAATCTTGATCAAGACGCAGAGCAAATGAGGAGTGAAGTAAAAGGCCGCTGCTCTGGCAATGGGAAACTGCAACATGTTTCCCTCTGTGTGTGTGTGTCTTCACAGCATGGGGAATATGAGAGATGTCAGACTAGCCTCTGTTCCTCCTCTGGCGGTGTAAATTAGATGTGAAACCAGCATACCATCGATGCCAGGGGAAAGTACACCTATCAAGGTTGGCTAACTCATCATGGCTCCACGCACTAAAGCGCAGCAGATGAGTGGAATGCAGGCGTGTACGCGTGTGTTTAAATCTTAATGAAAGTAGCCCTCTGAAGGTCAGCGCGGAGCAAGCGGGGGACTCTTTCGTCTGCTGCTAATGATGTATTAATGATTCACGGAGGCGTCTTTGTCTCATGTGCATAGGTGCCCACCCAGGCACCCCCCATGGACACACACCTCGTGGCCTGTGCAGGCACACACAGACACACACTTAAAAGAACATTTCTGTACAGCACAAAGAAAATTAAACGGACACATTAGCCGGTTCGACACACGAAACCATTTGTGCGTATGGACAGATGCTGTTGTTGTTTCTTTGTCTTTTATTTTCCCTTTCCTGTAATTAATTGTGGTGAGATAGTTTGGTAAGGAGTGACAAACAGTTTCACAGGTATTAAAACTGCAGCATTCGGATTTCATTAATCCGCTCTGATTGATTACCCCTCTGCTAAAAGCTCATGCGATCAACTCATTTGATAGGCTCTTAATAAGGCACCGAGCACAAGTGAAAATAAATGAGGTTCAGGCCAATTACATCAGGTACAAAAGTAATTTACAGTATGAAAGATGGAACAGAATGTGCCTCTAAAGAAATATTTATAAGGCAGTTAATGCTCAGTTCTTCGGGACTGTGATAATAAGTGTAACAATGAATTAATCAAGCGGCAATGAAAACACTGTATACAGTATTCACATTGCATTTAGATTTCCTTGTTAGCGCAAACAATGTTTTCACATTTCTAAGACAGCAATTTGCCATGAAAAAAGGAAACCATAATGAATACAGCTGCTTTCAAATCTACCTCATGTTTGTAAATGAGTGGGAGCTTTGCTCGGAATTTTTATGCCTATAATTGGCTGAAAGCTGCATTTACGAATAAATACAATGTCGCCACCACAGCGCTGATAATATTTAGTCATTGTTGACCACTTCCTTTGAAGCTAGTTATTGCGTCCCAGAAATGGCACGGAATGGGGGGTGTGGGGCGTTGGGGGTTTAAGTATTGTATAGGATAGGAGGTGGAGGTGCACGGGTGCAGTGGGTTCCCATCCTGCCTCGGGGCAATGATCTTACCTTGAATGTGGACATGGCTGGGTCCCTGCTATACCTGTCTATGGTGTGGAACTTGGACGAGTGGTTGAGCTCATGGTACAGCTCAGAATGTCTTTTGCGAGTGTGCATCACTTTCTGGAAGGGAAGAAAGGAAGGGACAGCAGAAATGAAGCAAATAGAAACAAACCAAAAACAAAAAAAAAAAGAATGAAGGGAGGGAGAGCCGTGTAGGGACAGGCAGGGGGAATGAAAATGGGTAAAATGCTGAGGGACTGCAGTGATGCCAGCCATGAGAAGGGGGTTAGAGCGAGACACTGTCGATCGATTGCTGGCTCATGCTCATCCATTATCCACTTCCTCTGTCTTTAAGAATTTGGCAACTGTGAGTGCTGCAGAAGCGAGTCCTTTACATGAATATCTGGTGAAAATGAGTGACAAAAATGCCATTGTCACAGCCTGGTTCTTGCTAACTGGTGATCCTGTTAAATCAGGATTTCTTTTTTGTCAAACTCATTAAAAATCTAACAGATGGGCTAGAATTTAACTCTTACCCTCACTGAAATTATATTTGTCAAAAAACTGCCATCCCTGTGTTCCGAATGTGGCTGTCCCGAAGGGAGTTAAACCCGGATCTGTAATTCTCTGACAGCGAACTGCATTTGTCAGTGCCACTGCTGTCTCTCCGTGCTAATGGGCAGTGCTGGAGCTGCTCGGCGGTAGCTAATCGTCAAAGCAGCTTGTGAGGTTGAAAGTGACACAGGGGCAGGATGCCAGCACTCACACCCGCACACTTACTGGCCAGTTGGCGCTTAGCACTGGCTCCAATTACTTCAGAGTGGGTACTCTCATCTCTGCTCAGTTAGAAGGTGCTACTATCTCCTTGACTGACTACAGTTTTAGGTTTTCAAGAATCTCAAATGTAACATACAAAATAAAGAATAATCAACACCGGTGCATTATAGAAAAGGTTGGAAGTAAGGTTGCACAAACAGAGCTTAAGGGCAATTTTAAGCTAAGTTCTTCAATGGACCTAGGCTCGTCCAGCTAGGCCAGTTTGTCATTCTGCAAGATAAGCTACCATCTTGCTATGACTATACATACATTTAGGCTTAGTTAGGACCAGGGTTTATTCAAAATCTGCATTATACTGGTACAGTTACAGTTGGTACCTGCTAGACAGTAGCCCCTGCCTTCACACGACTTTTCCAAGTCCATTCTAAAGACTGGAGCCAACTTAGCACTAAAGACCAGGCTTAGTAAATACCAGTTGGAGCAACTGGTCCCACCACTTTATAGTGTCCGAAATAAAAGAGGGGATATACCAAATTGATCGCAATGTTTTCTTATTGAATGCTCTTTCTTTCAAGATATCCAGCTTGAAGTCAGATACTAAAGAGTATAAACTTAAGAGTATAAGGTATTACTTTTCCTGAAACACATAATTAGATTTCTAATTTGTTTAAGTATTCAGTATATTCGTAAAAAAGAAGTTCGCTTTTGACAGTCTAAAGGGATGAGCCAACTCTTTCAATGGAGAAAAAAAAGCATGGTTGAAAATGGATTTACCTTTCATTAACTCATAGAAGTGTACACTTTGCTGTTTTAGAGGTTCTTCTATGTCTCTTTCTCAAAAATCAATAGTCAGTTGGTGTGAAAAGGGTTGCTTTCAAGGAGAGCCAGTTTCCTTGTTCATGCAGAAGCCACAGATGACTCCAGATAAATAGGCCAGATAAGTAAAATGATCAGCTGTAATCAGTGTTAGTAGCTTGTCCTCACTCATACCCTTTACGTTTAAATGATATGTGTCCATGGCGGGAGGTGAATGTCCAGTCTCTGCATTGGCCAATACTCAAAGGAGTTCACAGGGAGGGCAGCAGTGTTACGAGATGGCTTGTATTTTATTGCATAGAGACTGGCGATTCACGGGACACTCAAGTCATTTTTAACACAAACATACTCACAGACACTGCCAAACCATCTCGTTCCAACAGATATAACCAGCAAACCAACTGCGGCCACATACGGTACGTGTCAACCCAGGACGGAATTACTAGTTTTTATCCAGACACAAGAAGCATTTTACTTTTGCTGTTTCTTCAACCAGGACCCCAAAAAAAGACATGACAAACTCATTGGATTTAACTGTGCATGTCGTTTGGAAGGTTTGGTTTCCAGATTCAAATAACACATCCGCTTGTTCATAAAGACAGACTGTAGGTAGGGACAGCTTGACTGGCCAATGTTGGAGAAACAGCATACTATGTAAGATAAGTCTGAAACAGGTCACTGATCTGAGAGCAAGGGAGACACAGGAGCGAGGGAAGGGGTTTAGCAATGCGTTGTTTTTTTTTTTTACTCCTCTAGGCGTTACTCAAGTCCTGGCAGAAGCACAAGAAAGCAGAGACAGGCTGATGACAGGGGGGATGAGGTCCGAGATCTTACCTCGAAGTCCAGTTCAGAGTACCGTACTCTTTTCCTCTGGAAGAGGAGGGGGGCAGGGGGAGAGAAGAAAGCATCAATGACCACCCCTCGACCACCACAGAATTCTCTTGATCTCAGTGTCTTTGTGGATCTTTCAGTGCCATTGTTCAGTAACAAAAGGACGGCTAATATTCACCGGCTGCCCAACATGATACAGACATTTATTTACAAATGTCATGGGAAAAAAGGCAAATTGTTCAGCCTATTTCAACGTAATGAGATTAGTGGAGTGGAATAACCCAGAATTACAATGAAATATAATTTCTTGGCTCACATACCCTCAAATACAATCGCTACAGCCTTGGTGTAAATCGTCTTCTCTGCTATTTTTGGAGAATTTGTTGAAGACATCCAGATTAAAAAAGCTGCCACAAACATGTGAGGGATGTGTTTCATCCTCTAATCTTGTTTGGACCCCACCGCTCTCATCTTAAGTGCTTCTTTAGCTATAGTGAGTGGCACACAAGCCGCCAATTTAACAGCTGCAGACATTTCCAACTCATCTGGCCCCGACATTGCACTGAATTACATTCCATCTCTGACTTCCTCTCTGGCTCTCACTGTCTGCCAGATTTGCATTTGGCAGGGAGAGGAGCTGCTCTCTACAGTTAGTTAAAAGCAGTATTCATTCTTTGATAGGGCAGAGTTGCTGATCTGATGCTACGGCGGCCAAGGTTTTTAAAACGGAGAGAAATGCAAACAGATAGAGAGGCAAGTTTCTCCCGGGATGTCCTATTGCCTTTGAGAATTCAACCATTCCCTCTTTTATTATCGCGGAATCCTTACCTTAAACAGAGAAATTCCATGATTGAATTAGCTTTGCAATGTGGCAGGCATGCAACATGCATATACGTGTGCAGTATATTGCATGTTTTGATGGAAACACACAGAAAGCAATAGCTAACTCACTCATACAAAAATCATATGGGATTCTGTCCTTCTACACTTTGCTGTTCAGATGGCACGGTGGTGCTGCGGTGTTGTTCGTTTGAACTTGCTGGTTTCGATAGCACGATTATTGGATAGTATGCTTAGTGAGTCATTTTCACACTCTGATATACATCACTTGGAGTTTAAACATACAAGCTTCTGAATCAACAGTACATTTGACACCCTAAGTACTTTTTCACAATCTTTCCACGACACGTCTTCCTGTTGCAATTGGAAAGTAAAACACGGATTTAATCCTCAGAGGCACTCTCTGACATCCATCTCCGAATCAAACATATCCTAACAGGGTGAAATTGTAGCAGTAAATTACATCCGGTTTCTCTTCAGTTTTTTTTTTCTTCTTTTTTCCATATTCATGAGTGGACTCGTTACTCATCTGACAGTGATTTTTTATGAGTCTTAATGACTCGTCCTTAAAGTCCTTTGCCCCGAGTGAAGTATTTTTACTTTTAGAGTGAAAATGTTGCATCCAATGTCTTTAATCAACCTTCAGCAGTCAGCAAGATGCCATTAAGGGAAGATCTAAAGTGTGTATTTGTGCATGTGACTATGTAAAGTATGTCAGTGAGTGTTTGCAAAAATTAAGGTGGGCTGAAAGACATTCACCAGGGAATTTTTTTTACTCTGATCCTGTCAGTCTTGGTCCATCTGCTGCAAAGCCCTGTACCATTAGGAAGTGGAGGGGGGTATCACACACATATTAAAATCACTCATACAGAGACACTAAACTATGAAGCTGTCTGTCATTATGAGAATAACTTATTTCAATGGTCATCCTCTCAAAGAGCAGCTATAAATACTACTCATCTGAAAATAGCAGCTGTTATAGCAGACTTATACTTAGGCACACAACTGTGTTATTATCACAGTGTACTGTTACTCTAGAAGATATACAGCATGTATTAGAAACTCACGAAATTTGAACTAACAGGTTTGAAGGCCACACTTACGGAACTATGAGGCATGTGAATAGACATTTTTCTTTTTTACACGTGTTTGGTATTGATAGAGTGATGATAACAGTTAGTTTAGAAAAGAAGACCATCTAGTTGTTCCTAAAGTTAAGTGAAATGTCAGATAGATCAAGATGTCTTACTTTTCCTGGTGTAAATGAACTTGTTTTGAGAGGACGGTCGATGCAATGAGTGGATCTGAATTTTTCTTTTTTTTAAAAAAAATTATTCCACAGGCATTAATGACTGTGAATCCTTCCACTCCTCTTTATCAACCCACTTATAACTTTACTTACATTATCACAACCTGAATAGCTATCACTGTAAAATTCAGCGAGACAGTGGAAAAAAACTCAACCAGCGTTGCCTTTATTCCTTTTGTCCTCAACCTATCACCCACCTCCAGGGATCCTGCTGAGAGGCTGGTGTTGGCATTGGTGCTGCCCAGGTTGCGTGGCAGGGTCCTGGTTCTCTCCACTGTTGTTCCCCCTGTCAGAATCTGTCTGACTGAAGGTCTCTGGCCCGGCTTTAGCTGCAAAGAATTCCCATGGGAATGCATATGTCCTCCATGGGAGTGCACAAGACCACCCTGAGGCATCAAGTGGCCCTGCCCATGGGGCAATGTTTTGATCGTCCCAAAGGAGCGGTTGAGGTTCATGGTGATGTTCATGTCACCCACACTGGATGGCACAAAATCTGCCGGATAGGCCTCACTCTCTGCCGGGTGAAGGGTCAGAGGAGAGGGAGGTGGCGGGAAGGGAGGATCCTCCACTGCAATGTTGAGAGGCTTGTCCTCACCCCCCAGTCCCAGGCCTCCTCCTTGGGAGGAGGGTGTTGCAGGTTTGAAAGTGACTGTCCTGCGAGGTAAGACCATGTAGTCCCCCTCTCCTCCACCACCCCCCTCTCCTCCGTCTCCCCCACCCCCTCCGCTTCCAGCACTTCCGTCCTGGGAGGTGTTGGATGAAGCCGGAGGTCGAGCCCAGCCCAGGCCACTCTCGGTGCACAGGTAGATCGGAGCGCCGCCGCGTTGCTGCCCCTGTTGTCTCTGCTGGTCCACATTCACTTCCTTCTTTAGGGGGGTCTCACTCAGCTCATTGAGGCCTCCCAGAGGTGGAACCTTGCAGATAAAACAAAAAACAAACAAACAAAAAAACCTCAATAAAATTGTTTTTTTGGAAGCAGAATTATTTTCGATAAACTATATTCTTTTTTATTTCTTTAGCAATCCCGCTTAACTTCATACGATGAGACACATTCCATCTCTTTTTGTCGTGTTCAACTTCAAAATTGTGTTCAAAATTTTATGTCAATATAATGTCCAGCAGGAAGTTGAAAAATGAATGAGCTAATCTGTTTGGAAGTTTAGAAACTTTAATTGTGTACCTGTACAATAAGGTTAGGAGGGGGGATGTTCCCTGGGAGAGTGCTGAAGTTGACCCCTACTCCGCCCTCCTGATGGGCTGCCAGCTTAGGATCGTCCTCATCATCCAGGGAGATGCGGGAAAGGGTCCCAGTGATAGTGGCTGGGTTACAGGTGTTCACCTCTTTGAAAATGACTGCAGTGAGACGAGGGAGGCATAAGGATTTGGAAAGAGACAGCAAAGAGAATGGAAGATAGGCAAGAGATACGCGAGAAGGAATTTGGATAGTTGGTGAAAGGAGAAATATAGTGAAGGTGAAAAGTTTACAGGTGGGTGTGAATAGAGAAAGTGGGGGGGGGGGGGCAATTGGGTTGAGGAATAGATGTTGAACGGAAGAGAATAAATATATTTAATTCCAAAGAGAACACAATTGACAAGAGGTGTGCAACGCAGAGACAGACAGCATAAATTAAATTAAACTGATACTGAAATATACTTGCAGCTATACAGCCTCAAGATGCAATGCATCTCTAAAGAAAAATGAGATTTTTCTCATGTTGTGCTTGGTATACAGTGACTGACTTTTTGTTTCTGACACTGTGACCTTAAATCTCAGAGTAATGTCCTTGGTGAAAAATGCTATGTAAAACCCAGTGCTTTTCTCTTGCCTGCTTTCACATACTGACGTACATCTATATGCACTAGAGGAAGTGTTTTGAGCATTAACGTATGCGTGTGTTTCACAATACTGTTAATAGCACAACACAAAACCTGCTTGCAGTGGCTGTGAATTAGTTTTCATGCTCATTAATCATAAGAGAAGCTCAGACACTCCACACTTCTAGAAGAGTTACTGCATAACTAATTCGGACATGCTTATGAAAGACAATCTTCTGTCACAGCTATCATCAATCACACACACACACATATATCAAACTATCTGGAAATTCATGCCAGATATCATGCTCATTCTGTCACCATCAGAGGAGTAGATATTTACATGGCCCCAAATCCCAATTTTTAGACCAAAGTAGGAGCTCAGACTGTTTTCATACAAGCTGTATTGATTTAACAGAATGTCAGGCTAGACATTTGATCAAAAATTGAAGCCGGATCCTGCTGAGGGTGAATGCAGCAAAAGCACACTGGCTTACTACAACTGTCATTTCCTCTGTTCCATCATCCCGTTGGTGCAAACTGACAGGTTGGATTGGAACAGGTTTTGGAGAAATCTGACCAATCTGCTCCCATCACGTCTGCAACAAACAGTGGATGGCTCAGAGAAAGACCTATAGACGAATCCAGTGTTGTTTTTGTGTGTGTTGTGTTCTAAAGTACCGGTGCTGTTTTTTTGCTGATGCAGAGTGGAAGTGAAGACATTTACACTGACAATGAAAGCAAGGATATTTAAATTAATCACTGTCAGGGGGGCAGTGAAAGTAGTTGCTATGAATGTGGAAGTTAGTCTCAAAGGACCAGAGGATCAGAAATTAATTACTACATAGCCTTAGGGGGAAAAAAAGAACACAAATGTCTTGTGTGTGGAATACGTGTTATATACAACAGATTAACTGGTTTAAACCTAGCAGAAAGATTCCAGGTAAAGCCTGAGATCGATGTAATGACGTTATCTACTGGTGAAGCTTTAAGTAGGCGCTTTCAACCAGCGCTTTCTTGTTGTTATGAAAACCAGATGTAACAACCGAGGGGTTGATCTGACCGTGAAACCGAGGAAAGCAGCATGCTCGCTGGCCAAAAAGATGTGACTGGTGATGAGGATATAGTCAGTACTTCTCTTTTTTCACTTGAATGGTGATGATTTTAATTTTGTAACTCATAATAATGTATAATTTTACAACTTAACCTACCAATTTAGCCCATAAAGTTGTCATAAAAACGGTCACAAAGCCAGGAGCTAGTTTTATGGAAGTCTATGGGACAATAGCGATAAGAAAGGCAGGTTTAATGTCAACCTTTGCTGACTTGATTTTTGAGACGTGGAAGCTACATTCCAGAAGTTCAGGGCCGAGAAGTTCAGTCACTAGTTTCAAGTATTATTCAATACATGAAGTTCATAAAAATGATAAAGCAGCATATGATTTACAATGCAATGGCAGTTCTCTTGTGTTTGAGTGTGTAGCATCCATCGGTTTCTTGGTTAGATCTCGCCCGTGCTCATCATGTTTGGCCTCGAAACTCTAAGCTGCTTAGAGTGAAACTTTCAGAAGGCCTTTGCTGACACATACGTCAAGTCAGAATTGAATGGTCTACTTTTAAACTGGGGAACGTCTTACTACGCGAGTACTGAATGTCAGAAAGATAAGAAAGATGAGCTATTTGTACAGGTTTAAAGTTTGGCTAGAAAATATAGGAAGGCACCCACTAGAAATAGATACAGTATGTAGGGTGGTGCCATCATCAGCAAAGACACAATCAGACCCCAAAACTGTTCAATAGATGGAGTAAACGAATATGGCTTTCAGCTGGATTCGTCTATAGGAGCTCTTAGAGTTTACGGACACATCAGGCAGTATTTATTAGGTCAGTAAGGTGCAAAACTTACATGGGTGTCCTCTCTCTGCAAGGGTTTTGGGAGGGAGTGGAGGGGTGGGAGGGTGGAGTGACTCTTTGTTAATATTTCAAAGCACAACACACACTTATACTGTGGTACATCTGTAACACATCCAAACACCCACACAGGAGCATTGTCGACTAACGAGTGAAACAGGTCTGAACACATTGAGGAGTGTTATTATCATGCACAATTAAGCACAGTCTCATCCAAACATATGCTCGCTGAGCACTTATTGGGCAGAATCAGTGTGATTGATAAGGCATAATAATTTGCTGCGCCGAGATGTAGCGCATCATCTCCTGTCATTTCATCAACACATGCGGCAGCAAGCTAAGAATGAAACAGCTTGCAATGCTAATCCTGTGTGGGACAAAGGAACAGCGAAGAGAATGGAGACAAAAGGAGAAGGAGGGAAAGCGAAATCAGGTAGAAGGGAGAGCTCACCTGTTTGACAAGCCAAGTCAACGTCCTTCTCAAAATCCGTCTGACGTAGAAGGCGGGGTAGGCAGTGGGGGAGAGAGGAGGCACAATTAATTTGTGCATTTAGAGCAACAGGAAGCACACGAGTCCGAGTGAGCGACTGGATCTCAAATGGATATGATGTATCCAATGACTCTCATGCTCTGATTTAACTCTATAGAAAAGGACCTGATCCCAATCTGCCACTTTATATGAGTCAATTAGTAATCCTCTCCATAAACAGAACAAAACAAAACAAAAAAGATGCACTGAAAATGTTCAGTTTTTCCTTCTTTGCACTGAACTCATCCCAACGCCTTTTCTAACCAAAAAAAGAACAGAGGAAAAAGCTACATTTTGTCTAAGGCCTACACAACCGCTGCTTTTTTCGTGATGTTTATCAGTTCACAGCAGCATATCCAAAACAGACTTTGAGAGAGACGAGCAGAAGGCTGTGAGGTACGTAATGCTTCTGTATGCCTCATCAGTCACCTCGCTATCATCTGAATGGAAACAGGGACAGAAATTTACACAGCAGCTAAACTATTATCTGCTGTTCCAGCTGAAGCAAAACTTTGCAGCTTCCTAGCAAGGATGAGAAAAAATATGTATAATGTTAGAATGCAATCCATTGACAGGAGCGAAGAAAACACAAACTCACACACAACACTGCTTTTAACCTGTACTCAATATTCAGATTTTATGTAGATAAGGTACTTCGGGCACAACCAAATCTGATGTTTAGTTGCTTTGATATCTCGTACTTCACTCGAGCGATGCAGGGCAGCCCTGCTCCTTGGGGTAAAGAAACCCAGAGGCTGGTGAGTTGAATGAAGAAGCTCTCTTTCCAGAATGGCCACCACTCAAGTTTTTCTGAACTTTAGTAAAAGTGAAGCCTATTGCTATGCAGATGCGATCCTCCCATTTCTCACTATAGAGCCTCGTCCCGTCCTCAGCGGGATTCACTTACAAAAGCCTTTGTTTGGATAATAAACTACAGATTTCAGACAGTTTGGGCATGCCACCGAGGCAAGGAGAAGAGGAAAAGGGCGGAAATGAAAAACTGAAAGAGAGAATGAGAGAGTTTGCAAAGGTCTCAAAGGAGCAGAAAAGCTCTTAGTACGCAAATCACCCGCAGCACCATAAATGGTTCTCTACTAAATGGACAAATGAGAATATTAAGAAAAAAAAACAAAAAACCAAAGCTCTCCTCTCTTTTTGTCTCTTTCATCCACATTGAGAAAAAACAAAAACAAATCATCTTTATTCTAACCATTATGCACTCTCTCTGCAACTGCCTCACAGGTTACGTACACTGAGTCATCAACATCAACTAAATAATATAAGGGAACAGACTGCAGCATATACTGAGGGAGCACACGTTAACGTACACGTTCCTGTAGTCAGTCAAGTCTCTTAGACATCACAACTATTACTGCAGTACATACACTTAAAGGTGCGATATGTAAGAAACACAAACTTTGGTAAAACTACAACTTTGCTTCTTGCTAACAGTTAGCTTATAGCATCAGAGTGCACAGGGGTACAGCAAAAGGCAATTTGGGTCTTTACTAGAGCTCAACCGATATAGGTGTTTAAGACGGACACTGATGCTTATTGATTTTAAAAAGCTGAGATATTGGCCCTATGGCTGTATTTTTGTCAGGCTCTAGTCTTCACAGGTTTAATGTACATTAAAACATAACTAAGGGCTAATTATTGGACCTCTATGTACCTTTTTAAAATGTCAAAATATGCATATATGATCTTGTAATAGGACAAGACAGGTTATACCCATATGGAAAAGAAATAGTAAAAACTTATATGTGATTACTCATGAAAGTGGCCACTTTCACGAGTAAATCATATAAGGCTTACATGATTTACTCATGAAAGTGGCCACTTTCTCATTACTTTCATGTATTGTTTTAGTAAGTATCCAAAACATACAAGTTTCATATATAATTTTTCAAGGGATCGTATATCTGTTTTCACTCTTATATGCTTTTCATACAAGTTTCACACAAGACAGATACAAACTTAATAAGATTTATATATATCTTTTCCATATGGGTATACAAATCTGAGTACATTTCCAAGCATAGGTACAGAAATGTCTAAATCTAGAAATATCTACTTCTGTAACATTTCAAAAATGTCACCAGGGGTGATTTCCCTAAAGTACAAAAACACCCAGTGGCAACTGTACCAAACCACTGTATCTCTGAATGTACAATATGGCTCTTTACTGTCCAACAGTGTGTGTGTGTGTGTGTATGTATATATATATATATATATATATATATACACACACACAAATCCTAAAGTGTATTTTTCTTGGGTTGGGCTTATTTTGCTATTTCAGAGCACAGTAATGGTAGGGTTTTCACTCTGTTTCCCATCTTTCCATTAAGTTAAGAGACTGCTTACAGTAGCTCCAGAAAGCTCCAAAGCAGTGAGTGTTGAGTGGTTAACATTTTCTCATCCATCTCTCAGGAAGAACCTGTCAAAACGCTCAAGTAATCCTGTAGCATTTATTAATAAATGTTGCTTTACATATTGCACCTTTTCTACTTACGGATTTGACTATTTCTACCAACAATGGGGTTTTTTTTGGTTACATACTGGTTGGCTGCTGATGTGATTATGGGCGTGGTTATGGTTGTTGTTGAGGATGGGGGTATGCTCATTAACATGGCTCAATGCGTGGCTGTGGTTGCCATGGGTCAGACTGTGGTAACAGCCTTGCTGGGATGTCTGGTGGCACGCTGGTGGGAGTGGCTGTGCGTGGCAACCTGATAAGCACAGTGATGTGCCGTAACGCAAAGACCCGCTCTGCTTTCCACAGGCGCTCACATTTGCACATTTCTGATGATATATATAAAAAAAGAATTAATGAAAAACATAAAGTTGAAATGTTAAAAGAGGACATCTAACCAGCTTTGCAAAGAACAGTGCTGATTTTTAATCAGAATTTAGCTAATCAAATAAATTTCCAGAGACAGCTTTGATTCCGTTTTAACAAGAGGGTGTAGCTGCAGTTCTACATCTTTACGCCGACTCTAAATGTCAAGGGTTTAACATGCTAATGAGATTTGTGAATATACCAAGAGCACCTGAGAGAATGGTGTTCACTGTAATTATGATGCAGCTATAACTGGTGGCAACCTCGTCAAATTATCCATCACAATTAATGTTCTCAAGGGTGCTGCGTCTCTCACACAGCCGCTCTCCGTGCATATGTGCAGTCTGAAAAGACATCCTCAAAGTCGCACGTATTTAGACAAGAAAAGTTCAGAAAAAACAAGAGCACCTGTCTGTCTAATGCACTGTCGCTGGCACACTGATGAGCCAACACACACCATGATAATACAGTTTACCCAAAATTAAACATTCCAGTTAGACTGTAAAGGAAAACAGAGAGTGAGAGTGTGGCGCGATGGCTTCATTGAGCAGAGCGATGGCTCCAAAGTTTAATCTTGAAAACCTCAGAGGAGCATTCAGAAACCCATAATCGTTACCGCAAACAGGTCTGAGGGAGAAATAAAGGGAATAGAGATGAGGGCTGCTCATTCTCTCATGGTTGTGGTGTTACTATACTGTCATTGCTGGGGCAGGTCAAGTCTCTATGATTTATCACACTATTAATAACATCTGGAACGCACACAATAACCTTACAGCTTATAGCTCTGCGGTCTTTTAGAAAAAAGAAAAAAGATGAAGGACTTTCAGTTAGAAGAACATAAAAGTGCTGAAATGTCTGTTGTGATAAAATATGATCAGAGGCTGTGATGTATAGACCAACAAGCTCCCACTCCCGAGTTGTCACACACTGATGCCTGGTGAGGACCGGACGATTTCACAACAGCTTTATTTCAATGCGCAGGTTAGTCCAACTCAGTTTGTCGGGTGTCTTTCAGTGCTCGTATGTCAAAAGACGGGAGTGAGAATATGTTTTAACAGCAAATGACAATGAAATGATATAATAGCAGGGGACTGTAGGTGAAACAGCAGACATTAGTTTCAGGCTGGAAACTAGACAAGCTTCAAGTGAAATTTCATTTTTCTGGGATGATGTCACATATAAAAAAAAAAGACACTGCTTAATGCATGAACCCCTGTTAAGGTAAAGATGGTTAAGGAGAAAACGAGAAAGCCAGGTGCGAGTTTGATCACGTCTATAATGGCATCATGCTTCGCTCTGCTGGAATTGGAGCTCGCGGGGAAAAGCTTCAGTCTGGTTAATGTTAGTCTGAGGCAAATGGACTGCAATGTGGGATGAAATGGAGTGCTATTCACCATGATCTGCACCTGTCCATTCTTGCAGGAGTCTGGTGAGTTTTCGCTGTCGTCTTTACATCCCCCCATTCGACAGCGCACTGCGTCCTGCACCTGGGGGTTGGAAGGGGGATGCGGGAGAGGGTAGGGTGGAAACAGAGAGAGGGAAGGAGGGGCGGGGAGGACGATGAGGGAGAGGAAAAGATGATGCAAAGGAAAGAAGTTAGTGGAGGAACTTTTCCTTAAGTTAGTTTGGCAAACATTGGAGCGTGGGGACCATGCTCCTTAAACAACGTACATGCTTCATCTATATCGCCGCAATGGCAAGCGTACGGTGAATACCAACTTATGCAAAAAGTCCCATTGTTCATGAGGAAACTCGGCTTGCAGATTATATAACAGTTATAGGAGCGGTATAGAAAGCTCATAGAATACTTTGAAAGTGAAAAATTTGAGCCTAGTGATTACTGTTCACAGCACTAATTAAAATTAACAGCACGGTATGTACTGTAGATGTTCTAAACCCGAGGCCTTTCCTGTGCTATGCTGTTTTTTCCTTATCCTCCCACATACTGTATCTAAGTAAACACACACCAGCGCGCTGTCAAAGGGCTGCTCCTTGTAACAAAGAACAAATCCCCCCCCCTATCGCGATCTGTATTACAGGTATCCTGGTTAGTTGCTGAGGAAGTAGCAGCACATCGGGCGGTCTCCTCGTCTATGTACGCGAGTGGACTGCGTCCACGTCTGCGTGGACTGGTTTATCCCCTCCATTGTTTCATTTTGTTTATTATTTCCTTTTATATCCATACTCATCCTCAGTGGCCTTTGTTGCCTGTTCTGTGTTAGTGCGCGAGTGTTTGTGTGTATGTGAGTGCGTGCACTGGCACCCAATGCACCTCATTTCTACTTCAAAGAGAAATGCCCCACTATGGATACCTACCTCTCTCTCTCTCTTTCCACATTCCTCTCTATTTCCTCCTCCCCTACTATCATCCCCTGCTTCGCTTCTAAATCACAGTTTCCTCTCACAGATCTCTGCGTGCGTTCCCTTCCTCACCACCTAACTTTAACTTAGTTCCTCCATCACAAGACGCTCCCCTTTCTGCCGTTTACATAATATCACACTTTATGCTACCTTCTCTCTGTTTTTGTTGCACTGTAATACATCCTGATCCCCCCCACCCTCCCTCTATTACTTCCTCCGTTGCGGCACTCCCCTCTGTCTGTTGTTCTGCAGCTACGAAGGATTTACGCTCACTCTTGCAAGAGGATTTTCATACATTTACAATAAATAATTCCTGGATTTACGGTACCCTGATCCCTGCCGCTTTTGTGATATTGATTTAATGCAGCTAAGCATTCAGAGCATTTAAAAATTCACTTACAGTATGCAGTTCGTTCAATATCATAATGATCTCTTTGACAGAGGTTGCGTTGCGCGCCGCGTACATGCATCGGAAACAGATGACATATTTACAGTTATGGAAAACTGATGACATTGTAAAATCCATTAATTGTAGCCAGAGCAGTTGTGAGCGATGCCATATTGAATAAGTGCACACACACTGGCATGTGTGCCATTGTCTGTCTCAAGGGCAAGAATACATGTATGTCCATAATGAGTTTAAAATCCGGGATCCCCGGGGACACAGTAAAGCCTGTGGCAAACAGGCACTTGGGGCTATTAGTTAGGGACTTATCGTCTTATTTCATACAGCATCATAGTAAGCTCCTTAAAGCAGACTTGGATCAGATGGACAATGCCGCACTATCCTACTGCATTATGAAGAAGTAGTGCCGCAGCACAGGACATGAATACCGTGCTAATCCTTCTCGCGTCTGATCCGCTTGTGTTCTGACGTGACTTCATACTGACCCCAGAAGCTAACGTGACATTTAAGAAAATGAATCCCGGCATCCCAGCAAAGCCAGCGACTATCTCCGAGTTCACTGTGTGCTGCAGAGTTAGAATAAATTCAAAAAATGCGTGGCATCCACACAACAAATGCTCAACAGGAGGAGGGGGAGGAAGAGACTGGACTGGACTCACCTCTCGGCGCATGGCGCAGTGGACGGTGATGATAACAAAGCCTTGAACAGAGTCGAAGACGGCAAAGAGAACCTAGAGGAGATAAATGAGATGCTCCTGTTAGTTAGTGCACATTTGTTTAATACTGCAGTGGTTCTAAAACATTTTAAACCATGGCATCCCCCTTAATTTTAAGTTGTTTTATATTACTGTGCAAATGCTTAAACTTCAACAAACCATTGAATGAAATAAATGCAAGCACATATTAACTAACTGTATCGTACTTGTTGCCTTCAAAAGTAAAATTAGCTGAGAGTGCAAAATTTAAAATATTACAATATCCGCACTTCAATTCTCTGTAGTGTACCACATGGTGCTGTGGCACCCACTCTATTGTTATTTTGTGTTGTAATGAATCATGAGAGAAACCCTCATATAATAACAAAATGAGTCAGTAGTCATGATTATTCATAATAAATCATCACAGTCAATACTCTCACTCACTGTTTGTGTTGCTTACTTGTGATCTTGACAGTGGGAATTGCTTGTTTTAAAGTAAAATAAGATTATTTTCATATTGACCTATTTTTCCACTGGCCGGTTCTTTATTTATACATGATATTATTTGTCCCCAAATTTGCTAATTTGTCAAGATATGAGACTCGAACATGTAGACTGGGAAAAACAAAAAGTCTCTATTTTTTATGGTTGTTTCATTTTAACAGTGAGAGACAGAATATTGCTTAAAAATCCAGAAAAAAACACATGAAACTCATTTGCATCTCTTTGAGTGAAATATGTATTTGACCAGAGACATTTATTTGTAGTTAGTCACCAGGTTTGCGCACATCTCAGGAAGATTTTGGTCCATTCCTCTTTACAGAAACTCTAAACCCTTTAAATTTGGCTTTGGGTTGTTTGGAGGAAGAATCAGCTTCCTCCACAGATAGGACTGAGATCTGGGCTCCATGACCTTACCTTGTTTTTTCTTTAGCCACTATTTTGTTGCTGTGGAGACATGTTTTGGGTCATTGTCATGCTGGAAGTCCCATCCAATTCAATTCAATTTTATTTATACAGCACCAAATCACAACAACAACAGTCACCTCAAGGCGCTTTATATTGTAAGGTAGACCTAACAATAATATATATAGAGAAAAACCCAACAATCAAATGACCCCCTTATGAGCAAGCATGTTGGCAACAATGGGAAGGAAAAACTCCCTTTTAACAGGAAGAAACCTCCAGCAGAACCAGGCTCAGGGAGGGGCGGCAATCTGCCGTGACTGGTTGGGGTGTGAGAAGGAAGGCAGGATAAAATACATGCTTTGGAAGAATGCCAGAGATTAATAACACGTATGATTCACTGCAGAGAGGTCTATTAACACATAATGAGTAGGAAAGGTGACTGAAGAAGGAATTCTCAGTCCATCATGGGAATCCCCCAGCAGCCTACACCTACTGCAGCATAACTAAGGGAGGATCCGCGATTCACCTTCAGTGTTCTGGCTTAGGGAGTGAGGCCCTGTCCACTGGTTTCTCAGTGCAGTGAGGTTTTCCTGTACCCTTAGCAGAAATACAGTCCCAAAGTTTAATGTTTCCACCTCTGTGCTTGATTGTGGGGATGGTGTTCTTTGGGTCATGCTCAACTTTTTTCTTTCAAACTTAAGATGCGCCTTCATGAGCAGGGGGACTTGTAATCCTGCAACCTTTCAGTCCATTATTGGGGAATGTGTTATCCGTAGTGTTCTTGGTGACTGCGGTAAAACTTCCTTCAGATCATTAACAAGCTCCTCCCGTGTAGGTTTAGGCTGATCCACCACCTATCTCATGATCATCCTCACACTATGAGCCATGATCTTGTAGGGAGCTCCAGACCGAGGACAAATGATGATTATTTTATATTTCTTCCATTTCTGAATATTTCCACCAGCAGTTGCCACATTCTCACCAAGTTTTTTGCCATTGGTCTTTTAGCCCATTTCAGCTATAAAAGGACCTGACGTCCTTTTATAGCTCTTTGGTTGTGGAGAGGTTGGGATGGAAAAAACTGATTAAGTGGACCGATGTGCTTTATGCACATAACAAGTGGAGATCAGGACTATCTATAATTGATTGACTGATTGATTATATATGATCTGCACACAGCCTATCTGTGAAAGCCATAATTCTAAGTTTAGGGGATCAAACGCTTATTTCACCAAGTCACATGAAAATAAATTTATAACTTTATCTGATATGTTTTTTTCTGGATTGTTGGTTGATATTCTATCGCTCTACTGATATAAAAATAGAGACTGCTTATTTCTTCATAAGTGAGCAAACTCACAAATTCAGCAGGGGATCAGATAACTATTTCCAACACTGCATCTTTATCGTTTGACTATTCAAGAACAAACAGCAGTGAATGTGCAAATACTTCATCTATATCTGTGACACAGCAGGTGTTTCTTAAACTGTCAGAGGGCTCCCACCATTTAAAAGCAGCTTATCCATGGTGTCTCAAAGCTACAGATGAGTGTCTTGCATGCATTGGTGTTGTGAGACACATCACCTGGAAGAGTGTGGAGCGCCGGTCAGTTATGGCCAGGACCGCTGACATCCAGGTTAACGCTAGCAGCGGGAGAACCACACAGGAGCTCCACAGAGATGCCCTGTCAGAGAGGAAAGAAGGAGACAGAGGTCGGGGCAGAGGAGGAGGAAAGGAGGGAATGAACAAGGGATTCAGTCTCAAACCAAACCAGATGAGTCATATCTGGTAAGTCACATAACTCAACTTCTCACACACATGCACTCATGTAAACATGGAGATGAGGCATAGTTTCACAGCAGTGGGCAATTTGAAACTGATTGGCACACTGGGATTTGAATCAGACTTAATATTCCCACCGATAAATGGAAGATGATGTGTAATCATGTAGATAGTTTTGGACTGGCAGTTGCTCACAATTACATAGTTGATGCACACTAAGTGCCATGCTGGTAGACTGTGAAGACAATGGGCAGAAGCCCACCGAGGAGGGGGAAGACAAGTCACTGACAAGTACTGACATCGGGTTTCTGAGGTACAAGAATGTGTGTGCGTGTCTGACTGTAACAGCACAAAGATAGACACCAATTTAAAATGTTCATGCTGTCTGAGCACATATTCACGGTTTTATAACTGTCCAATAAAAAAGACGGACAGCTCCGTCTAGCTACATGGAAAAATACGCAAGTCCCCGTTGATGTGCAAAATGAGCAAAAGCGAATAAAGAACAATAAATTATAGTGATGTATCTGCTCTTCTCCTGTGAACTCCCTGTGGTGCTGACTGCGGTTGTAACCAAACGTCATAATCCAGCAGAGCAACAAACTCCAAGAAATTTTTACATACAAGAAATAAAAATAATGAGAGTAAAAAAGAGGTATGATTCATATGAATTGAATGTTCCATAAGACTAATAAAGCTGATCCTACGTTTTACTTATTAAAGTAGCATTTTTGCCCATCACTAATAAATCAATCTTGTGTGGGTGTGTGTGTTCTTTGCCTTGACAACTTATACAGTCGAGCTAGTGACAATCTGTCAGGTAAATGTCAAAGTAAGCAAGTAAGTAAACCACCTGAAGTCCAATATGACTTGTATATGTCTGAGACTTAGGTATAAGGAACAATGACTATAGTCAGGGGTGCACATAAGTGGTCCGCAGGTGCACATTCGCTGTCAAAATAAAAGACGTGCACCAGATAAGAAGTTGCCACGAGCGTTTGCGTACATATTAAAGGGACTGTTTTTATCCACGAGAGTGGGATTTTCACGGCATATTCTGCACCACATCTCTGTGCGTTCTTCATTTGTTTGAAGCCAGCTCACCTCCTGCAACCACTTTTCCGAGAATACGCGCTTCTTTTGCGGTTCGAACTCCTTCTGATATTTCTTTGGAGGTGGAGGAAAACCAAAGTAATTGCTTAAAGGAGCTTGCTTATTCGACAACTTTAAGAGTTCTAAACAAATGTGTGTCCTCCTCCAGAAAATCTTATGTACG